TTAGTCACAGATTATCTGAGCAAGATGGAGGGAGAAGTACAAGGGTGGTCATCAGCTGGTCCAGAAGTCCTTACAGTGGGTCAGAAGTCCAGATACACAAGCCAGCAAGGAGTAAATGGAATAGTCCAAAATGTAGCCAGTCCAAAGTAATGAAAACAAGAAGATGAGAGAGTACTACCAGTCAACCAAATAAGACAGTTGTTAGCATTCAGAATGAGAGAGAACTGCTGGGATATTTATGGGCAGCTCCTTCAAAATTGCTGTTGTTGATGATGATTGCCTTCATGCTGTTTCCTCCTTATGGGGACCCTAAGGCAACCCCATCACAGAGCTTTCTTGTCGAGTTTCTTCAGAGGGGATTTGCCATTGCCATCTTCTGAGGTTGAGAGAGTTTGACTTGCCCATATTGTGGTATAAAAGTTCATGGAGTGTGCTGTTGCTACTGCTTTAGTGTTGTTGATATGTGAGCACTTTTGTTCCAGAAACTGCAAAGCTACTTTTAGGGGGATTACAACTCCCCAAATACTCCAGAGGCAATCTTCGCTGGAGGATGCTGGAAGTAGCCATCCAAAAAAGTAACTTTCATCTCATTCTGCTTTGGTCATAGAATATCTGCCTCTTTCCATACAGCAGTCATGACAATTAGGGAGGAACAGGAGCTGCTTTGCATGTTTAATCTCCCAGGTTGAATCCCAAGTGTCTCCATTTCAAAGAAGGATGCAGCAGATGATGGGAAAATCATAGCTGAGATCCGTGGTGGTGCAGTAGATACAAATTGACCTGTTTCCCACCCTTCAGGTGGATAGGACTGCAACTCCTATGGCTGAGGATGATGGGAATTGCAATCCAAGATGCCTATGGTGCCAGGCCATAGATGATACTGGGTCAGATGGGCAAAATTACCAAGTTAGACTACAAGTGTTTTTACACAGTGGAAATAATGCACCATTTGACATTATTTAAAGTGGTGTATCTCCATCCTATGTAAAACTGGGATTTGAAGCTTTACAAGGTCATTAGCCTTCTCTGTCAAAGACTACAGGTGCCTCAAAAAAAATGACAAATCCCAAGATTCTGTAGGATGCAGCCATGGCATTTAAAGAGGTGTCAAACTGCATTCTTTCCTACTGTCAATTGAGGGTGGGCAATTGCAGCAGGTCTAGGCCCCAGTTTTCTGCACCAGGGCCAAAAGGACTGCCAAAGATGCAAAAAAGGAGAAAGGACTGGGGTGGGGAGAAGAGAATAATGGCTGGAATCTTGCTGGTGGATCAGACTTGCGTTCTGTTTGTGCAGCGGCTGATGAGTTCCTTATGGGAAGCTGGCAAGCGGGATATGAATGTGACAGCCCCTCATCCATGCAATGAATCCACTCCATATTTTGGGGATAGAGTTCAGCATCTTGAATAACTCCTTCAAAGTTTGGGCTAGAACATAGAGCAAATTCAGCTGTCCAGTGGCATGGAAACCCCAGCCAGTAAAGAATATAACAGATGTGACTGTACCAGAGCAGCAAGCAATGCTTTCTAGTTATTTTTCAGGTTACCTTCAAAGCACTTTTTGAGTCATTAACCAAAATCTTACATCAAGGAGGCAGAGTGCAACCTTACACTCATGGAATTATGTGACAATTGCACAGTAGTGAATTGCCACACAACAACAGAAGGTGGACACAAATGTAGAAATGTGTGTATGTACGTATGCATGTATGTTTGTTGTAGTATGCCTTCAAGTCTTATGGTGACTTTAAGATGAATCTATCATGGGGTTTTCTTGGCAAGATTTGTTCAGAGGAGATTTGCCATTGCCTTCTCCTGAGGCTGAGAGCATGTGACTTGTCCATGGTCACCCAGTGGGTTTCATGGCAGAACCTTGGTCTCCAGAGTTGTAGTCCAACACTCAAGCCACTATGCCATGCTGGCTCTCTTTTATTTATAAGCCACCTTTCTCCCAAATTAGACTCAAGGTGGTGTTAGGATACGGATGGGATATACAGTCAAAGGTGAAATGTAAAGATGTGTGTGTGTTTGTAATTTTCCACTTAAGAACAGTTTTTGGACAAAGCACAAACAACATTTAGAGAAAGAAAGTGAATCAACACCAGGTGGCCAACTCAGACATCAACATGTACTTTCCCAAAGATACAACTCACGGACACAGACTTTGTTATGGTTAACAAGTGATCACAATTATACGTAAACATCGTTAGCTTGGGAAAGATAGTCACGTGGTGGATGATGGACATCAAGAGGCTGGGTTAGCATACATCATACAGGCATTATCCAATTAGCATAAAGTTAACACCTAAAAGGTGGAGTATGGGAAGGGCCTAGAAAATCCTTTGTCTAGAATTGTTTTATTGTTCAAGATGTGAACATGTGTGTGGCTGGAAAACAGTGGTTTTAACTGCAACAAGTTGGATCCTAATGCTTTTGGGATTGTTAAAGATGTAATCTTGTATGGCTGAACTGGACAAGTTCATTACAATGGATTTTACTTAGTTATTAGTTATTTTATTTTTACTTTTTATATGCATTAATAAAGCTATGCTTTTGGACTTTACAATGTGTCTTCTTGACTGAGGAAGACAGGATCCTGAAGAAGGGAAGCTGAGCCAGTTGATGATAAGAATTACAAAAGTGGCTGTGGATCACAGCAGCCAGCTTGTCCTGCAGACTCTGCTGGGTGCCAAAGGGCATCACTACAACACTCATCATCCACACACAAACAGGTGGTTCACAAAAGATGCTTAAAAACAGCAACAACAACACAGCACAATTTTAAAATGCAATTAAAACATAAACATTAATATAGCAACTTAAAAATGTAAAATCCTTAAAAATACTAGCTTAAAAATATAAAACTACTGAAAACATACCAAAGCAAACATCCCAATAAGAAGCCTCTCTGGGTGCAATTATGTCAGCCCTGGTTGGTACCTGGATGGGAGACTGCCAACAAATACCAGGTATACAATTGTACAAATGTACAATTGCAGTGTAAAATGCGCATCCGCACATGTAATGCACAATGCACCTCTGTGTGTGCAATGCACAAAGCATAATGCACATTAGCATGAGTGGTACACAATGCACAATGGCACTGCAGTGGCACTGCCTGTTCAGTTCTGCTTCTGCAACTGAAGGTTGTAGAACCTATAGCCAAAAATTTACAACCACATGGAAACTTACAGATGTGTAAGTTTATAACTTTGCAACCAAAAATTTCCCATCACATGGCAACTTACACATGCATTAATTGCTAACTGACAAAGCCATTTTTAGATGCATTTTGCCAGGATATCCCCCC